ATATATATATATATATATACATACAATAACAATAAAATTATGATTTAAATTATATAAACAATGTGATATTACTCGCTGATTGATACTAATGCATGAAAAACTTCTGGATTGTCGATATCTAAGAACAAACATTTAAAAATGTCATTGTAAAACTCCGGATAATATTCGCATGCACGCTGGCAATCGGGCGTAAAATTTATTTCCAACAGCTTGGGTTGCATTTCGCAGTCTCTCCATTCCAACATCATATCGGCAGCGTACACAGCTCTGCTTTGCGGACTTTCAGCTATTCCTTTTGGAGGCGGCTGCGCGACTGCAGCTTCAAAAGTCTGTCTTAAAACGGAAAGAATTTTTGGCTCGACATAAGTTTTCCAGGGATAATTAGGATATTGATTTTCCCATTCTACGATGAAATCGGCACATTTTTCATGGAACAGTGAATTCTCTTCGGTATAATTCATCACGGTGAAATGTTGCTCATAAGCATTAAAATTGTTCAGTGCGAACGGTTGATTCGCAAAACGCAGGAAGAAGTTTGCATAAGCATACGCACGTAGCGGCTTTACAGATTTAAGCAACACAACATATCTCACGTCGAATTTTACTTGATTAATATCCGATCTATTATATAAAACTGGCCGTTCGATGTATTTCTGTACAATTTTTGGGCCTGTGCAAGGCAGCCGTAAAATATAATAGAGATTATTCGTGATATGAGTATCTAAACCTCTTGCTAAATTCCACGGTTTGCAAATCCAATGATTATCCAAATCCTTATTTGCTCGTTGCATGAAATAAGCAACAAATTGTACTAATTCCGTGCTCAGATTATATGTCGTCGGTAACCATGCTGGATAAGTTTCGAGAGTATCCGAGTCATACAACTTGTTCATTGCCTTTCTTCTGCATACAATCGATAGAAGATCTTTTGTTGTCAAAACATTCTCATATGGAAACTGATTTACAAAAACGTGAGACGAAGAAACATTTAATTCCTTGTACGTCTTGTAATGAGATACAAACCATAATATGTCTGCCTCTTCTTCATTGTCAGTAATTTCAAATGCTGGATCTGTCAAGTAATTATTCACATAACTGTATTGTGAAAAAACCTTTAATTTTCTGCTGTTTTCTGCTTTGATTACATCCAAGTTCTCCGGCAAACTTTCAGGAGCATGACCTGCTAAAAAATAATCTGCATCTGGTTCATTCTGTTCAAAACTTTCATCTTCAAAAGTATTGTGGACCCAAGGCAATAATAGTGCGCGTCTTTTTTCAGGATCTTTCGTTTGACCTTCTACAAAATCTCTCGTGACTTCATCGCCTGCAGAAACGTCTTTTATAGGAAATAGAAGCGTATAAATTATACCTTCCGGCAAATATAAAAAAGGAACTGCTCTAAAATTCGGATCATCACTGTGATTTATCGCTGAACCAACTTCGTCCATAATGTACCATATTGGCATTCTATCTTCTATCTCTCCATAGTTCACCGAATATGATTGATTGTAACGCCACATTTCGTTTGTAACATCCTCAACTTTTTTCTGCTCATCTAGCTCTGTATTTATTCCCATGAGAACACACATTCGATCAAGTAAGCCAGGAACTTGAACTAAATTCTGTTGAACACTACTGATATCATATGTCCATGCATGATCAATAAGATAAATATTATTAGAATCTTGAACAGAAATACCATTCTCTGCAGATACAATTAACTTCCATATTGGTTCTGTAACATGCCTTTCTCCATTTTCATATTCTACTTTTATCAATTGAAAGACAAGACCAGCATCATAAATCTGATCTGTTAATTTCTTATATAAAACTTTCCAAAATAAATGTGGGATACCATAAGATTGAAGTTGTACTTTATGTGTTGTAAGAAACACATTAAATAAGTCCACACCATCCATTGCAAAAAAATGAATAAGTCTAAAACAAATAAATATTTAGCAATTATTTCTTCAATATAGAAACAACAAAGTTAAATACATATTGCGGAGAAAGAATCTATGTTTCTTGAAATTGATACATGTGAAATATTGAAAAATAACCTTTTGTATTTAAACTGAGTTTTTATTTTATTATATTTTTTCAATTTTACTTTTTTCTATTTGTAATTCTTTTTAATTGTGTGACAATTTAAAAAATTTGACTCTTACTTTGCTTTTAATTATTGTTATTTATTTTGTATAGGAAGAGTCCTTCAATTTGTTAAATAAAAAATAACTAGTTTGTAAAACAAAAACAAAAATAATAAAATTTATCAAAATATTAATACAAATTAAATAAATATATGCATTAAATATAAATAACAGTATAATAAATAAAACTTGCAAAAATATATATAAAGGTACATACATTTAAAATTATTATAGGTTAACTAACACACGCTCCTTTACATCTTCTACTTCTTCGGACTTCTTACTACTTGCTATATATTCTGTTAGATTTGATATAGTTTATTGCACTCGATAAAATGACGGCGAATCCAGCCAGAAGACAAACTAAAGCCGGCGGCACATGCTTGTTTTCCTACTGGACTGCTAGCTGGATTAGAATCTTATTGGCTGCGATGCTGGCACTGACAGCACCACAGTCAATAAGGCAAGATTCTATTAGGAACTATCGTACCCTCTGTATACTAAAAAAATGGCTGCTTAATGATTGGTGGATTTTATAATCCGTCTTGCAAACGACACCATTTTTAATATTTCTTCTAGTACTTTTTAGTACTTTTGCGATACTGACATAAGCCGGTCGCGCTTCTCTTATAAATATAGGACTCTAGTTTATGCCAGTTTCATGTCGCGCTAGTTTTAAAATTTATTTATAACATTGCTTAGATCACTAATATTCCGTAGATCCACGTAGAACGTGTTAATAAAGTATTGTAATACTTATGATATTATAATATAAGAAAACTGCACATACTATACCACTGCATCAGCGCTGATGTAGTAGTATTGTCCAAATCCACATCTTTTAAGACTTTACATTTGGAACAAGTCGCCTTTCCGACTTTTATTTCGTAATTATTCAATAATTACGAAATAATTCAGGAGTGGATGAAATCAGGCTGATGTAATAGTGTAGTATTACAAATAATAACGGTGCCAGCGCTGTATGTAGCGTCTTCGTCATAGTTTCTGAGCAATCAGGTAATAATTTTAATTAATTCTTGTCGCACGAAACACAAACGCGTTTAATATTTTTCATAAAAATTTCAAAAATAGTTGTTTCTACAGATATTCCAGGAACCTTGTAAGAATTATACTGTAAGGCAGATATATATTGGAGGATGAAATATATACATATCAACTAACAAGTAATGAGCGACGGAATAAAATATATATGCAGATAATCTAGATTAGATTACTTTACTTTCGCGGAATTTTTATGTATATGTATGTATTATTGTACAGCATAAACAAATACAAACGTAACCTCTTTGCAATATTATATTATCTTTATTCTAGGTATTCAAAGATACATTATAGCATGATAGAGAAAGGCGTGTCTTTTTCCACTATGCATAATAAATGCTTCCACCATGTATAATTATATGGTGAAAGAAGACACGTGTCCTTTTCCACCATACATAATAGATGCTTTTTATTTACGTCACTTTTGAACGACACGTATACTGACGAGATGAAGCTGATAACTTGATAAAGTTTTTGTAAGTATTTAGAAATTAATATACACGCAATATAACATTTCTCATAAATTAAACGTGCGTAAAATTTTTTATATCAATAATATAATTTATTAAATAATAAAATAGAATCAGATTTCTCAAAAATTACTAAATTAAAGTACAAAACTTCCTGGGATGTAGGAGTCAACACGGTAGTTAGTGCGTTAATTTAATATTAGACATACATTTTCTTTCGTACGCATTTCGACTTGATTTAAGTCACTCTCAACGAAATACATAAATTAAAATTAAACTATCCTGAATAATCCTAGTCCTAAACTAATCTGTGCACCTGGTGCCAACTATCTGCCTCACTGCAATATTTCCTTGAGTTCTATCTTGGTTATTCAATCCAATAAAACAATGAAAGCTTCCGTAAATAAAGACATTACAAATTAACAATAGCGGTCAATGATAAAATTGTGTTTACAGAAATAATCACGAAATAATCACTCACCAAATTGCAAAAAAATTATACATAAATATTTAGCAGTCCAATGCACATAATGAAATTAGCGTTATTTGTTAAAAATTAAAAATTGTGTCAAATATGCGCAATAATTTTACATTTTAAACAAGTGGTTGTCGTGTCCGGTTACATAGACCGTTATTCATAGTCTGTTCTTATTTTAATCATCTTAAGTAATGTCTTAAGGTGCTATTACTCCCTTCTAATTGGCTTTTGATATCTTAGGATTGCACTTAAGATGGTCTAAAATATAATCGACTATGAGTACCGGTCTATGAGGTGATTTATTTTGTGTTTCATTTTTTACTAAGAAAGATGATTCTTCAAAATCATATTTTAAAGTATTATATGATGTTTCAGTTAACATTTTCTTGATTTTAACAATATTTAATAGTAAATTTTTTATATGATTATTTTTTCGTCTTACGGCAATTCTTAATATTTTTAATTGTTTGTCTTTTGAAACTAATTTTTTTTTGAATTTTTTTCTTTGTTCTTCAATAATACGTTTCAACCTTGCTGTTTGACATTGTAATTTTTTTTCGAAACCATTTGCTTGAACTTGTATTTTTTCTTCTAAATTTATTTGTAAAGATTGCAATTTATTTATTAATTCTTCATTTTTCTTTTCCAATTTTTGGATTTTCATCTTCATCTCTTGAAATGTGAGTACATCATTCCGCTTCAATGTTTTAATTGTATTTGTTTCGTCTGTAACAAAAGTAAATAAAAATACTATAACACATATGATGAATTCGATTACTCGCATTACACTGTAATCAATGCATATTAAAAACTAATTTATAAAGTATCTCAACGCAGTGATATAATATAATCAACTTTGACAATAAAATGATATATATATATTTTGTTAAATAACGTGACAATATTATTAGTAGATAGTTAATCGTTTAAAATATTTATATACTTTTACATTTAACTTTACTAATTTCATGAAAAACAGCTTTCAGTATGCACTGATCTAGCATAATGCAAGTGACCGAATTCACTAATAGACACATATAAAAACATACCTCTGTCTAGCTTACATATAGAATTTTGTATTTCATCTTCTTCTAACTTTGGAATAAATTTGATTTCTATCTCTTCTTCATTTGAACTTATTTGCTTTCTTATTTCACTTATAATTGTTTTCACTCTTTCTACGAAAATGAACAAGAATTGTTAACAAAAATGAAAATAATACTATAATTTTTTAAATGTAAGTTTAATATGTACTAGCTAACACTAAATATTTCTAAAATATTCATAAAAAGTTTCTAAAATAAAAAAAAACATTCCAAAAGTATTCTGAAATATTAATTTAATATGTCATATTAAGATTTTAATATGTCATTCAACATTATTAAGATCGTTTCGAAGATGCGAATAAGCATCAAAAATTTGTTAAATTGCAAGTAAATTCGTGATATTATTGCGGTAGTTTAGCGTTTCAAGACCGAAAAATCATTTCGTCGCGCGTTTCTAGGGATTACACACGTAATATATAAATTCACACCGGTTGAAATTCACCTTATTGCGAGATTATGCAAATATTATGGATAAGTTTTGTTATTTCCATTTCCGTTAGATTACGTAAACCTAAAGCAATATCTTGATTGGCTTAAGTTTACATCTTATGGTCACTGTTGCAATTTTGTGTGCGGCAGCCCTGATTACACCAATGTTACTTTGACTTTAAATGAGGCTTAAAACTTTCTCTATCTCTCCCTCTCTCTCTCTCGGCTTTAAATAAAGAAAGTGAGTTTTAATTCGTTTAATGTCAAAGTGACGTTTGTGCAACCAGATCTAAGGCTTTTTTCAGCGCTACAAAAATTACTTGCTCTTAATAAAATGATTTAAAGACAATCATCTCATATGATGTACCTTAGCTGTTGTATTATATTTTATGTAACTAAATATTACATGCAACTCTAAATTTTTGGTATAAAATATGATATACCAATGATTTATTTAAAATATTTTAAAATTTATATTTATAAATATTTAATTTATAATAAAAGTTTCTTTAATAAATTCGAAAGCTGTTATGAACTAACGTAGATATTAATGCAAAAAATGATTTATTAATTAAAGATTTATTAATTAAACATTGAGTAGATATAAAATACAATGACAATATTTTTGGATCGAGATGAATTTGCGTAATATTATAATCAGCACGGATATTATATTTTTTATAACTGCTCAATTATTTGCGTATAAGTTATGTATTGAATGTATTGAAGAAGACCAAAAAATAGTAGTCAAAATGTCTACGCGGTTTTATATTCAATGTTCAATTAATAAATAATCTATTTTTGCTTTTTTACACCTATATCTGCATTGGCTCATAACAGCTTTCAAAATTGTAATATTTAACACTAAAATCGTGACTTAGTTAGTTTTGACCAATCTAATAATTTTTCTGTTCCAATTTATTTGAATTTGTACGTGGAGCTTTTGTAACTCTTCATAAATAATCATAATTAATTACAAATAATTTTACTTTTATGGTGATAACCCCCTTCCTCGTAAAAAAACTAGATGGGGTTAACTTAGACCCACAGTTCTAGTGTTAATAACAATATATATATTTATATTTTTTTAAATATATCTTCTAGGTATTTACCTGTACTTGTACAATTGTTTATTAAATTTTTAGTAGGTACTACATCTGGTTTTAAACGTACTCTTCTTGTAGTGTCGCTAAAATCTTCTGATTTAAAATGGATATCGCAAATTGCACTGTATTTGTTAGGTATAAATTTTTTCCGTCCGGTTGCTTCAATCCATTTAGCTGCTATGCTTTCTACTTGCGGAAAACTGAAATGTATTATATTGAGTGTGAACATATTGTATGTTTATTTGGCAACTTAAATTCTATATTTAATCTAAATTTTATCTAAATACGATACATACACAATATTTATATTACCATGATCTTCATGTTTATGTACAAATATAAGGTATGAATCACAGACTAAATATAACGGTACTTCTAGGATTATATTTCAAGACATCTCTTCTCTGAAGAAAATTTTATTCGATATGGTAATTATATATGGCTCAGCCGGTTGCATTTCAAAAATCAATGAAATTAGGTTTATTTGATGTGTTTTTGTATAAAACAAAAGATCTGGCAGAAAAAAAGCGTTGCCCGCAAATCAAGATATTAATTATTAAAGTTGATGACTATTTAAGTTATGAAATCTCTCTTATCGATTAAATATAATAAACTATACGTATGCTGTCATGTTTGCTTGGTAACAATGATAATTTAATGATAAATAATTTTTTGCTTTAATTAATCAAAAACCAATTTTTTTATATAATTTAAATTATAGCAGAGAATAATTTATGATTCAAAAGTTTCAAAATATGGGCAGCTAAACTATATAATTACCCTTGATATAATATAGTATATGATACGTACATATAAATATATTTTGAGTAAAAACTTTCCTTGGAGATATTTTGAAATGTAGCCTATGTCATTAAAATTACATAATCTATACACATTTTTATCTATCATTAATCAAAACTTATTTTTTCTTAAATTTACCTAAACACATGAATCTTGTCTTTTCTTTTATTCCGATTTGGACAATTAAGTACCTCACAATGTTTCGTCATATTTTTTTAAATTGTCGCGATATAATCACGATAAAAATATATTTATGTACACATATAAGAAATGCTTTTCATTTTTTGTTGATCCTTCCAGTTAGAGTTTTGGAAGAGCTTTCTACCACACCTATTGTCAGAGCAGATCTCTTGCTTAATATTATTATCTCTCTAATGTTCTATTTCGTACAATTCGCATATTTTTTCAATTCTTGATGCAAAGTCTGTATGTAAAAGCAAGAATAATCTTCCTTCAAATGGAAATGTGTCTTCAACCAGACTTATAATTATGACCGTTGTTTCAACGTAAAACTTCAGTATTTATTTAGAATATCTCCTCATCCCAAATCTTAGTAAAAATGAACTTATTCAACGCGAAACGAAAGAACTCAGCAGAAAAATGCGGCAGTCTGTCTTGTAAAACAAATTATCAAGTATCAAAATTCGAAATTTTAAAGGTTAAAATATCTGTCAAACTCGATACAGATCAAAACATGCTTTGATTACATGCGCACGCGCATTGCGCTGTGAGTCAGTACCAACTACCAAGTGCATAAACAGGCTATACATCTAGTGACTTTAACTACAAATAAGTTGGATATGCTTGAAGCACAGTATGAAGTAAGCAATAAGCACTACTGTATTCTTGTTAGTTTATGATAGAGTTTAGTGGTTTAGTGAGGTTTCTAATCTAACACGTAGAGAACGTGGAGAAGGTACACAATAATATACAAATTGTTAAAATCATCTGGTATAATGTAAATATAATGAAAATAAAATAATACGAAGAACAAAACATTAATATTTCTAAAAAAGATATTTTAATTTATTGCAAAAATATCCTAATCATAGATATATTAAGTAGACATAAATGCTTGGTAATATTCTAATGGTAATTAATTTAGTATAATGTCTAATTTATAATGTTTAATGTATAAATTTAATCTTTATCTTATAATTATGAAAATATTAAAACGAATGATAATTATCCGAAATCTAATTGTTGATTTGTTTCTTCCCTTCTTCCTTCAGGGATTACCTAACCTAACCAGGTTCTCTTCATAACAAGGACCTCTCAGTTTTGGATCAAAATGACAGCTATAAAAGTGCATGGTGGTATCGATATTTTAAGACTGCCGGTAAACGAGGAGGAACATATTTGTCCTCCATGGCATATCAAGTACACTCAGTCTCATATACTCCATTCTAAATGTTCCAAAAGCGAGGATGGCTGTGGTACCAACGACACAAATGCCTGTCAATTTTGCGTGTATGTTGCTCGTTAATCGTTATCTTAAAAATATTATAACATCAGAATTCTTAGAAATGCAATTCTTATCCTTACAGATATAGTAATGCATTAGAATTGCCACATATGCCAGATATGGTGTTTCCCAATAATGTACTATCTCTGAAGCATGAAGATGGAGCATTGCTGCAATTTAATGCTTTAGATGCTTTAAGATATGTTTCTAATGGAAAGATTAATGTGCAGCTTGCTTATGCAGAAGCATGGAAAGAATCAAGGTATATATAATATAATTCTAAACTTAATAGCTTGTATCCAGATGCGTTTTTATCGATGAAAGCATGCTTTTATTTCTGATATTCTATAATATGCGTTAAGTATATAGTATATTAGCGCGTTAATATCATTGTATGTGTGTTTTGAATACATGCCAATATGTTTATGCAACAACTGTTGTTATAAATAATTTTAATTCATGTGTATATCAACAGATCAGAAAGTAGTGAATATTTAGAGGAAAAGATTAAACCTTTTGATTGGACATTTACTACTAATTATACTGGTACAATATCTGGCTTCAAAGTCGAAGAAACAAATGAGAGAATTGATATAGATAAATTAAGACAGAAGGATAAGATTATGTTTTATCATGATTTAACATTGTTTGAAGACGAACTTCATGATAATGGCATTGCTGTTAGTTCAGTCAAAATTGTAAGTTATCTCACATACTTTTGATAACATGCAGCAAAGTTAATTCTCTTAATTTTTTTGTATAGAGAGTCATGCCTACCAGTTTTTTTATATTATTACGGTATTTTCTTAGAATCGATAATGTAATGCTAAGAATAAATGATACACGTATTTACCACGAATTTGGGAAAAATTATTTATTGCGTGAGTTTACATCACGAGAAGCTAAAGTTCGAGATATCCGTGTAAGTAATGCAGCATAATATTATATTCTGTATCGAATTTTAAACGAAGATTAAGAGCATTTATTTGTTTAGTACATTAAAGACATATAAAAATGTAAGATGTCATATATGTTGTTATTCTATTTAATTAACATAGAATTGATAATAATTAAAGAATACTTTTCAGCAAGGACACAGTGTAAGGACATAGTAGATCATTATAGCCTTGTTGTTTGTCAATGTTAAACAAAGATGAAATAATTTACTGTGTTACATTGTGAATAGAGATGTGTGAACTATTTGAATGCGAATCAAATCAAATAAAATTCGATTCAAATTTGAATCACTGATTCGAACATAAATTATTCGAAAATTTCGAATCTATGACCGACATTGATAGTTGATTTCTTATTTTATGACCCTCTTACGTAATGTCTTAAGGTGCTATAATGCTGCTCTCTTATTAGTTCATTACATCTTAAGACTGAACTTAAGACACTCTCAAATATAGAATCAGCTATGAATATCGGCTTGAAATATTTAAATATAAGAATCAAATCACATTTTTTAATTATATATATATATATATAATTAATATATGTGATTTTGACCAATAAAATTATAAATATTCTAGTGAATTTGCTACTTTTGTAATTTTCATTTCATTTCAAGATACATAATTAACTCCTAGATTCAATTCGGATTAAACAAAAATTAGATTTAATTCAGAGTCAAAAAACTTTGATTCGCATATCTCTAACTGTCTATGTTGCTGAAAAATGCTTATGGTCTGCAATTTTGACAAATGTGTGGATGATAGGAATACTAAAATGTATTACTTTCTCATAAGGTTTCCCCGGCACTTTTCTTGGAACCAAGTACGATAGCACCTCATTTGCCATTAATTGGAAGTCGATACGATAAGCTTATGGTACCTGAAAAAGAAGAAGTTAAATTAAATGAAGATACAGCTGCACAAAATAAGATTATGACTGAAACAAAATTAGTACAGTCTGATGAACATACAGCAGACAGTTCTATTACTTAAATTTGTGTTAAGAGTTTGATGTTATACGACGTTATTTTTTCGATTGATGTAAAAAAATAATTCATTGTATACATAGATCATTGATTCTTGCTTCATCATTTGAATAAATATGACATTAAAAATTGAAAATAATGAAATAATTATACTGTTTCTCAAATCAATATTAAGAATTTAAAATTGATCGTGCTTGTCAATTTAGTATTATGTGCTTTTTTTCATTTGATTTACAGTAAAAATTTTCCAAGTAAAACTTAATTTGTTTAACAATATTTTTTCATGAATAAAACTATATATACCAGTAATGAGAAGAACGATCTCTGACACAATCTTGGAATAACCTTGATAAAAATTACATTTAAATAAAAATAAAATAAGGACAAGCGTAATGAAATTAAAAATATAGCTTATACTTCTATTTTAAAATAAATTTTAACAAATATAATAGTACAGAAAAATTATTTTATAATACAATATCAATATTTAAACAAAACATTGCGACTATTTTTATTATTTAATTTCATAAGATGCATTAAAATATAATTATGTTTTACTTTTTTGTTTCTTTTTTATTTAAGTATTCGTCGTATTAAAATCTCAATTTTAGCCTGAAACTATAATACATAAACAATTTTTTTTTACCATCTTAAAATTTATTGTCGAAAAAATAATGTCTTAACTAAAGTTGAATAAAAAGAAAACTAAAGTCGGATAAAGATCTCCCCATTGTTCCCTTTTCTTCGGCTTGACCTTGAAAAGATCAAATCTATTGCACATCAGAAAATCCTTTGTGTTTCATCTTGCTAATTCGAATTAGCGGGAAGTCCCTCATCAATACAATATTTCTCTATTAAGAACTATGTAAAAACATTTACACATTTCATATAATAAATATATTAATATAATAAAATAAATCATTCAATAAATCAATAGGCCTTGGATTAAAAGGATATTTGTCTGGAGAATAAATGTTGAAGAGAGTACGGCTGGGCCTTGGTCTCTTTGGTAAGACTTTGATTAGATTCCAGGCGAAGGGCTTTGGCCCGACGTATTCCGCCATAAACACCATCGTGACCTCAGTCCTCTTCCCCACCGACCAAGTAGAAAATAAATCTCAAAGGGAATAGGAGCTAAGGAAGGAGAGATCGAGAGGGAGTTGACCGATCGTGGCTTTCGGGGTGGGCCGTCTTCCACCGTACGATGGTGTTTATTCGCGGGCGCAAAAAACTTGGTTGAATTCCATCGCACGGGTCGACGGCGGGGAGGCGGGGGAGGCGAGAGGAGAGGAAGACGAGAGGAGGAAGGAGAGAAGGCGAGGCAAGCGGCAGCGTGAGGAAGAGGAGGCTGGAGGGAGAAGAAGGAGGAAGAAACGCAACAAGAGCAAGAAGCAAGGAGGTCGTCGACGACAGCAATCTCTCGTGAGTAGGCTTATCCCATTGCCTCCGTCCCACCTTATAGCGCTCTCACACGCTACCAGCGGGTGCGTAGGTGTTTCCGGCCGGCTGAAGAAGCCGTCTGCGCCCGTCGATCCAGAAGAGGACGGTCGAAGCGGGATAGAGAGACGAGAAGAAAGAAAGAGAAGAGGAGAACGAAGAGGAAAAGAGATGGAGTGATGACGATATGTGGTAGCGAGAGAATGGAAGAGCATAGAGGAGGAGGGTCTCTGAGGGAGCGAAGAAAAGAGAGAGAAAGAGAAGGATAATGAGAGGAGGGGAGGCAGAGAGAGAGAGAGAGAGAGAGAGAGAGAGAGAGAGAGAGCTCTGGCTAAGAGATAGAGAACACTCGGCCGGAAGCAGTTACTCGCGCGATGCAACGAAAATATCAGGGCGTCCGTTTCGCAATAGGTCTGCCCGCGTCCGCCCGGAGTTTAATATAGAACACTCGCGGCCGGCTTCGTCGCGAAAACATCACGCTGACGTCGACCGTACGCGAGTTTCTTCTCTCTCTCTCTCTCTCTCTCTCTCTCTCTCTCTCTCTCTCTCTCTCGCTCCCCAGTTCTCTACTTCGTTCGCCCGAGAAAAACGTCTCCTTCTTTCCGCTCGGCCCGTCGCGGCCGCTGGCTCTCCCGGCCTCTTCTTCTTCTTCTTCTTCCTCCCTTCGGTTGGACGGACCCGAAGCGCGGGACCCCTAAAATTAGGCTCATGTCCACTCGCTCAGCGTGCCGTCGCTCCACCGTCGCCGCGGATGACATCCGCGCCGGAGAGTCGGACTCGTCGAAGGTCTTTGTCCGTGACAGTGGTGTGTGCTCACGGTGGCACGCAGCGACCTTTGAATAGTAAGAACAAGGTGCG